ATTTAGAGTAAACATTAGCAACAATGGGTAGGTTGCTGAAAATGTGGGTGAAAGTATAAAAATAAATATCAGCAACATGGTTTTTCTTGGTAAAAGTTGAAAATCAGCAACATAACTTTGCTTGCTGAAAATTAGGCAGAATTCCGGTGCCGGTTTCCAGTCATATTTCTCTCAATTTTTAGCAACATGAGCCACATTGCTAAAACCCTATCTTCAGCAACGTGGCTTATGTTGCTGAAGAGGGTGAGAAAATTCACCCCTACTCTCATCAGATTCTGGTGAATATTTTCAGTAACATAAGCTATGTTGCTGATACTATATTTTCAGCAACATAGCTTATGTTGCTGATGTATCAGCAACAAGATTTTGGTTGGTGATGTATTACCCACCAAACCTTCTCCAACAAAGCTTTTAGCAAGCAAACCCATGTTGCTGAAGTCTTCAGCAACATGGGAACCACTTTCAGCAACATGGAAGCATGTTGCTGAAGCTAAGGATTTTAGTAGTGTAATTATTTAAATACTCTTAACAAATATTTTTTGTATTGATTACTTAAAGTTATTTTAGTCTTTTTATTATCATTTCTAGTATTTAAATTGCCTTTCAATCAATTTTAAGGAAAAAAAAAAAAAGATTAGTAAGATCTCAACCTCAAGGACTAAATAGATTAATGGTGCTTGACCTTCCTATGCTTTAAAAATATGATTTTATGTTCCATTTAGTCTTTAGGCAAAACATGCATATTAGCCCCTTAATTGGTTGATTGGTGGCAAATCAACTCCTCAACTCAGTTCACGCGCAAACTAACCACTATATGTAATTACTGATTAATACTAATTTACTTTTTTAAATCTTATTTTTTATAAAAAGATTTATTTGTGATTTTTTTATTGATATATTCTTAATAATAATTAGAAATAAATGTATTTATTATAATAAAAAAAATATAGCTATAAATCATAGAATGAACAATTGAAGAATGAACTAAAAAAGAGAAATGTGTTTTGTTAATAAAATCTATAAAAAGTTAAAAGGAAAACGTCACAAAATTATATTGTTTCAAAGAAAAGTGTAAATTTAAAGTTGATTAAATAAAGAATCAAAGGGTTTTTATTTTATTGGGTTTAATAGAATATTAAGAGAGAAAATAAAAAAGTACTAAAGAAAAGTGTAAATTTAGAATTGATTAAATAAAGAATCAAAGGGTTTTTATTTTATTGGGTTTAATAGAATATTAAGAGAGAAAATAAAAAAGTACTAAAGAAAAGTGTAAATTTAGAATTGATTAAATAAAGAATCAAAGGGTTTTTATTTTATTGGGTTTAATAGAATATTAAGAGAGAAAATAAAAAAGTACTAAAGAAAAGTGTAAATTTAGAATTGATTAAATAAAGAATCAAAGGGTTTTTATTTTATTGGGTTTAATAGAATATTAAGAGAGAAAATAAAAAAGTACTAAAGAAAAGTGTAAATTTAGAATTGATTAAATAAAGAATCAAAGGGTTTTTATTTTATTGGGTTTAATAGAATATTAAGAGAGAAAATAAAAAAGTACTAAAGAAAAGTGTAAATTTAGAATTGATTAAATAAAGAATCAAAGGGTTTTTATTTTATTGGGTTTAATAGAATATTAAGAGAGAAAATAAAAAAGTACTAAAGAAAAGTGTAAATTTAGAATTGATTAAATAAAGAATCAAAGGGTTTTTATTTTATTGGGTTTAATAGAATATTAAGAGAGAAAATAAAAAAGTACTAAAGAAAAGTGTAAATTTAGAATTGATTAAATAAAGAATCAAAGGGTTTTTATTTTATTGGGTTTAATAGAATATTAAGAGAGAAAATAAAAAAGTACTAAAGAAAAGTGTAAATTTAGAATTGATTAAATAAAGAATCAAAGGGTTTTTATTTTATTGGGTTTAATAGAATATTAAGAGAGAAAATAAAAAAGTACTAAAGAAAAGTGTAAATTTAGAATTGATTAAATAAAGAATCAAAGGGTTTTTATTTTATTGGGTTTAATAGAATATTAAGAGAGAAAATAAAAAAGTACTAAAGAAAAGTGTAAATTTAGAATTGATTAAATAAAGAATCAAAGGGTTTTTATTTTATTGGGTTTAATAGAATATTAAGAGAGAAAATAAAAAAGTACTAAAGAAAAGTGTAAATTTAGAATTGATTAAATAAAGAATCAAAGGGTTTTTATTTTATTGGGTTTAATAGAATATTAAGAGAGAAAATAAAAAAGTACTAAAGAAAAGTGTAAATTTAGAATTGATTAAATAAAGAATCAAAGGGTTTTTATTTTATTGGGTTTAATAGAATATTAAGAGAGAAAATAAAAAAGTACTAAAGAAAAGTGTAAATTTAGAATTGATTAAATAAAGAATCAAAGGGTTTTTATTTTATTGGGTTTAATAGAATATTAAGAGAGAAAATAAAAAAGTACTAAAGAAAAGTGTAAATTTAGAATTGATTAAATAAAGAATCAAAGGGTTTTTATTTTATTGGGTTTAATAGAATATTAAGAGAGAAAATAAAAAAGTACTAAAGAAAAGTGTAAATTTAGAATTGATTAAATAAAGAATCAAAGGGTTTTTATTTTATTGGGTTTAATAGAATATTAAGAGAGAAAATAAAAAAGTACTAAAGAAAAGTGTAAATTTAGAATTGATTAAATAAAGAATCAAAGGGTTTTTATTTTATTGGGTTTAATAGAATATTAAGAGAGAAAATAAAAAAGTACTAAAGAAAAGTGTAAATTTAGAATTGATTAAATAAAGAATCAAAGGGTTTTTATTTTATTGGGTTTAATAGAATATTAAGAGAGAAAATAAAAAAGTACTAAAGAAAAGTGTAAATTTAGAATTGATTAAATAAAGAATCAAAGGGTTTTTATTTTATTGGGTTTAATAGAATATTAAGAGAGAAAATAAAAAAGTACTAAAGAAAAGTGTAAATTTAGAATTGATTAAATAAAGAATCAAAGGGTTTTTATTTTATTGGG